GAAGGAAGGAAGGAAGGAAGGAAGGAAGGAAGGAAGGAAGGAAGGAAACGAAACTAGATTATTGGAATGCCAAGAAGGACCACTTTGCTCTCTTGTGAGTGCTGAATGTGACTGCCAGGTGCATCATTTGAAGATAGAGACATGCAAGGCTATTTGGAAGATGTAGCAATCTGAAAGACAGTTTGATCAGATATATGTCTACCCCACATGAACATTCAAATTTGGACCACTTGAGATTGCTCTGCCATTTCACTAGGAAATATATATTATATATTATATAATATAAATATCTATGTAATGCATTGGCTCTTGAATTGGCTCTTGCGCAGATTTTTATAAATATGAAACTTCTCCCAGGAGAGATTTAAGCTTTTGGTGCAATGACAAAATCATTACACTATTCTTTCCCAGTCTTCGTACATCAAAAAAGAGACATCTGAACAATCTATCCCCCAACAAAAGTAAGGATTACCCCACAGCATATTCACTCTTATTGCTTCCTATAGTAATATTATTTTTTCTTCATGTGACATATATAACTTTTTGATCATTTTAGGCAAAGTTATTTCAAATCTATAGTGTAAAATAAAGCAATTTGAAAAGAAAACATAACGATGAAAAGAAAATGATTGTCATAAATATTGGGGACCCTCCAGAAGATATTTACAAAAGAGTGCAGTAATAAGAGGTCTTCTCTAAAGAGAACACTTTCCACAAATGCAAAACCATATTTGTAAGCTGCTAATTAGTTATCTACTAGTTTTGGCTAAGCCAGATATATACACAGTATTTATAAATACTTATTAATGAATTTTGATTAATTTTCTTCATCTTGTATATTTCTAAATGTACTTAATTTTGTTAATTTCATAAAAATATTCTTACTACAGGTAGTTTTACACGTAGCCTTCATTTAAGAACTGCCTTGTTTAGTGACTGTTTGCAGTTATACGGTGGTATAAAGGAACTTTATGGCAAATCCTTGCATTTACAACCTTCATAGACCTGTAAAGCAAAGTAAAATCCTAAATTCAGATTTTTTTTTTTAAAAAGCTAGCATTCTATGGAGCCAACTTTCCTAACTTGAATAAAAAAATGGCAAGCTGCTAAAAACACTAGGGCCATTGGCATTTTGCTTTTGATTAGATTACTGGATATCTTCAAACCAAGTTGTGGACTATAAATGGGAGAGAGGCTACATTTCCAGATCGCTCTTCAAATGCAGCGGACAATTGACTTACTGAGATATATTTCTTCCTCACCTTTGGAGAACCAAATTGGTCACTATATATAAGATATAACTCGATTTCATTGAGGGCCTCATCAGGGTTGCGTTTAACCTTGGGGGGTCAGGGTGGGCATGGCCAGGGTGGGTGTGGCCAGCTTAACATCATGTGTGTTGGGGGAGCCAGTGGTGGCCCAAGCACTCTGCCAGCAAAAATGGTGCTGCCCTTATAAACTCCATTTTTAGCTGGGACGATCTCCTGCAACCCCCTGACAGTGAAAACAGAGCTCGGGACGGCTGCCTGTGGTCCTCCCGAGCTCTGTTTTCACTGGCAGAAGCACCACAGGCCAGTCCTTCATTGTTTCCAGGGCAACCCGCAGGCCAGATCTAAGCACCCGTGGCAAAGATCCCGTGACACCCCTGGCTTAGATGACGTAACAGATTGATATACTCTAAATCGTCAGAGTTCATTAAGATGTAGATAATCTGGCAAAAAGAGGGAGTACCTATGTTGCTCTCCCAGTATGACTTCTGAATAATTCTATTTATTTTATTTTATTTATTTGTCAAGTGATTATGAAATAACAGGTATAAGTATAAACATAGTTATGAATACATGAAATGGATACATATAAGAAAAATAAAAATAAACAATAGGACAGGGAGGGTAGGCACATTTGTGCACCAACCTATTATCTCTGATGTATTACAGAAAGAAGACCAAGAACAGAAAAAAGAAACATTGTGTGATTCTCTCTTCAGTTTTATTACGTTTCCTCCCACTGTCTCCCATGTATTTCTATTTTGATATCCACTTGATTATTTATTTAAGTCCCGTTCCAGAGGAGTCAAGAGAACAAATCCTTAAGTACAGTCTTCTGCATCTCTACCTCACATAACAGGCATCAGCTCATAAGTTTAATGAAAGTCTACGGTAAAATAAAATATTTATCTAAACCGACAGATGAGAGTGCAACATTATTAGTGGAAATCTACTACCCAGTTCATAGACAAGCTTGTTTGGGTACTGTTATTCCTTTAGGCACTAATGCTATTCATATGATTAGTCCCACTGAGTTCTTCTGAGCATATCAGTAATACTGTGACATTCATTTTTCTTGCTGCAATTACTTTTAAACAAGTGAGAAGCTAAGAATTGGAGTTAACAGAAGATAAAGAAAATTACAGAAATTCACACAGGTTATGAAGCCAACCTTTAAAAATGGTTAGTCATTAAATGAGAACAATTGATACACTTTATTGCTTCCTCTATACATGGGTACCAAAATAATGTTTAATAAATAAATTAAAAGGCAAAAGTATTGCTTTAAAAATAAGAGATGGATCTAAAACACATCAGACTTGCTAATTTTGATAAATTGTGATTCAGAGCCATACCTTAACATTTGGGAAATTCTCTACTCAGTACAAAGGCAATAATTTCCCACGTTCTTTCTAACATGGAGATGTCTTCCAGGGGAAGGGGGTGCAAGAGGAAAAATGATAAAAGCAGCATTGCATTGCCACAGTGCAAGCTTTGTCCTTTTGTATGTGTATCTCATTCACAAAAGTGGATGGTTTTAGGAAATTATTTCACCAGGTTGATGAAAATCACTCATTTAAGTTGGTTAGCAGAAACAGTCCAGTGTATTTCCTGTTTTCTGCATTCAGACAAAAGGAATCCTTCCATGCTCAGAAAACATAACCTAGAGCCAAACCACAGCTTTTGAATACTTTTGAATGCAGACTGCATTTGCAGCTTTTCAATGAGCCTAAAACTGTTTTGCAACTTGAATGGTTAAGTTAGACATGAAACATACTTCTCCAATGAAATTTGGGAATCATTTTGCCAGACCTCCTTTGACACAGATAAATTGCAAAGCAGCAAAGAAGCCTTTCAAATGGCAAAACTGATTTTTGTTTTAGCCACTGTTAGTAACAAAAACAGCAGGAAAACATGAGTTTGCAGTCTAAAGGGCTTCAGAACCCCTGGCACAAGGGTTATTGCCATAACAAGCATACGGCTGTAAAATTCAGATGACCACTAGATGGCAGCAAAGAGATACAGAAAACATTTTAATGTCATTTAGTGGTCACCTGGATTTTTTTTTAAGCCCAGTTATGCCTATTGCCATCCTATATCATGTATATGTGTATGCCATGACTACATATGCTTTCTGACTACAAAGTATATAATCCACACATTCAATTATTTTTCTATTGGCCAACTGGCTAATGTAGAATGCTTGGCAGGTTTCTTGCTTCTTTTCCTATTTTCTGTCAACCCTCATACTTACAATCATTGGTTTCTCATTTAGTATTAGAAGGGAAATTAACACAGTTCTTTAATCAGTATTACTTTTAGATTTATGCATGCATTTTGATGATGTTTAATTTGTTTTGCATAGTTTGCCTTTTTGTATTGAAAGGTGCTTTGATCCTCCAGATGGAAATATGGGATTATTATTTCTATTAAGAGGAGGAACAAGATAACTAGCCAAAGCAGCAGCAACAGTAGTAATAGTATTACTATTCAGTGGTGAGAAATTAGTGTTTAGGAAAGGACCAAGGCTTCAATTTATACTTGTCTTTGAACAATTATCAAATGTCAAAAGTGCTTTACATTTTCCAATCCTTCTGAGCTATCTCTTTCCCAGTAAAACTTCTTGCCATCAACTCAATGATTTTTCTGAGGTAAGATTCCATTCATATTATTTGCCCATTATATACCTCTTAAACAGCTTACAATTTACTTATGCTCAGCATACCCTTGAAACTATGGGATCTAGCCAGCGTCCCATTTGTATCTTTGAACTGTTATATAGCTCCCCAACATCCTTTGCAACAGGCTGTAAATTACAAAATAGCATTTTTGGCAGCATTTTAGGACAGATCCTATTTGTATTGGTCTGAAGCCCAGAGGATATGCATTATCAGCCCATAAAACAAAATGTATTTAAGAACTATCAGGATTATGTCATATTCCCTCCCAAAAGCCAACTACTGAAATTGGTAATGATCATCATCATCTCATCTCTTATATTTAAGTGTATACCAGCCAGCCAGGCTTCTTATTAGGTCAGTATTATCTCATCATCTTTTATTTAGGGATGGCAATTTAGGATGGTGTAATCAGACATATATATCTGCTTTCCTAAGCCATCCGATTAAAAATACTGCTTTTCCCTAATTAT